GGTGGGTGGGGTGTCCGGCCTCGGAGCTGTGCGCCGGGCGCTCTCAGGCCGCGACAGCTTGGGTCGAAGAGACTGAGCGCTTCTTACTTGAGAAAGGAGCTTGGTGCTGTCGATAACCTCTTCCCACTGTCCGTTTCAGGCCATGCGAAAGATGCTCTTAGTCTTGCCCAGATGCAAGAGCAGACCTTGCAGCTGGAACAGCAAACAAAGCTCAAGGTGAGCTGGAACTCGTCGCTCATTGCACAGCTGGCCCGTGTCAGGCCCCCCTGTGTGGGGGGCGGATGTCGAAGTCTCATTTTCTCGCAATGTGCAGAGGGTGCCAAGCTTTCCCTGCTGCTGTTCGGCTTTAGCGAATTGTAGTGATTTGCCTTTTTAAAGCAATTCTGGCAGGTGAGGTACAGGTGATTTGGCCCATTTTCAGACATCTTTTGTGGCTTTATTTCCAACTTGCATGTCCGGAGTGGTTTTGTAAATGCTGGAATATCACCACCGTTTTTAGGGAATGACAAGGGTTTTCTGCAGGGAATGGTAGAGTAGTTGGGTGGAGGACAGACTTCTGTTCCTTTTATAAAGGAATTTGGGGATTGTTTGAGTATTGATTTGTTGTTTTGTTTTTTTTTTTAAATGAATTGTATTTAATCCTGAAATGGTTAACTATAATAATAAAATATGATTGTAAAAACTTCATATTTTAGTTTTCTTGAATCATAGGTCAGCTTTGAGAGTACTGCTCTGATTACAGATGGATTTCTTGAAACATAATTGTCACTAGCACTCTGTAGGGTGCTGATTTGTGATTATTGTCTTTTTGCCTTGATAGGAGTATGAAGCTGCCATAGAACAACTGAAGAATGACCAGATACGGGTACAAGCAGAAGAGAGACGAAAAACACTTAGTGAAGAAACAAAACAGCATCAAGCAGTAAGGAAATGAGGGGGAAGCCAAGTGATGGGAGACCTCGTTTTTGTCCTTTAATGGGAAAGGCAGCAATGCATTAGTTTCCCCTTTTGGGGAGTGCAGGAAAGAGGGTCACAGTCAACCATAGATGTGAGGCAATGCACAGACTGAGCATGTCTTCTACCCTGGCTTTGTGATGTTGAACTTGATTTGTAGCTGTATGCAGCTTGGTCATCTTGAACTTTTGTTGCCGAATTCTTGACCATCCAAAGGGATTTGTAGTAGTGGTTGCTCTTCTTGTGTGCTCTTTGAAATTTTCGTGAAGGAACTTGAGGGAAGTGCTCTTGAACATACTGAGATACACTTGTTTGTATCTGACAGCTGGTGGTGTTAAAAGGTTGAAGACTACTGGCTTATCAAGTATGTGTGTTAGCCTGGACAATGAAAAGTCTCTTAAGTTATTTGGAGTTCAGTCTTAAGTAGCCTGCAACACTATTTCTTCCAAGTTTGATCTTCTAGACAGGAAAAAATGCCTTAAGAGGAGAAGTGATGCAAATCTGAGTTATCAGAGGCTGTGTTGTGAGCAATGTTGGTGCTTTCTAGTATGTTTTAGCCAAGTTACTGAAGTGGCAATAACACTGAAATCGGGGAAATGTAAGCTAGCTTTTATGCTAATAGCTCACATATGGTGACTTTTTACTTTGAGAGCACAGGAAATTAGGGGATTAATTAATATTAATTGATTATCTAGCTTGGGGAGATAGCTAAAGCTGCTTATTTGGCACATGCTGCTTTTTATCCCATCGGAGTTTGAACTTTGAACAGGGCTGGCTCAGGAAGCAGGCTTCCCAGTCGTCTGCTCTGTTCATGAGTTAGCTCTTGAACTCTTGCAGTTCCAGGGCATCGTTTGAAATCAAAGCAGCCTTCTGAAATGCCATGGTTTTCAGTTGTTGAGGAGATGACTCGCAAGCTGTTCTGCTGACTGTGTGTTTGGAAAAGAGAGTAATATCATCCCTTGTACAGAGTCCTCCTTGCTGAGGGATGTGGGCCCTCAGACCACTTTCAGTTGAGTGTATATAACTTGGGTTTATGTGCCAGTTGCCGTGGAAAATTGATGAGAGAAAATAGTGAAGAACATGAAAGTCAAATCAGAAACAGAGCTCATCTGACAGGCAGTGTATCGTGACAGTTGTGTTGCTTGCAATTGCCAGTCCAGGTAATGTGTTTTAGAACATGAAAAGCATGTTTTTCTCAGTAAAGGAAAGTCTGCTTTTCTGGGCTGAAGGACACTTGTTCTTTGTTTTAACATCTGTGATACCTTAAAATGAAGTCAGACTATACAGACTTCTCAGCATAGAGGAGTTTTTGATGCTGGTTGAGGATGTTTTGACCCAAACTTTACCCTGTTCACGTTCAAACCCAGGATTATTTTTTGGTTTGTGTGTTTTGTTTTGTTTTGTTTTCCCCCTGTATGTTACAAACCTTATTGCCCAGGACTAGGTTCTCTCTTAAATGCCTAATTTTTTTTTTTCTTTCCCGAAGCGAGCCCAATACCAGGACAAATTGGCAAGGCAGCGCTATGATGAACAGATGCGACAGCAGGTATGACAGCTTCCTTCTCTAACCCAACTGGGAACTGTGTAGTAGCTTTCTTAAGTCAAAGTGATGATCTAGAACTGTGCCCTACCCTGTTGGCCAGATGGCTGGTGCTAGGTACTGTTGCTTTCATCTGTACCATTTGCTTGGCATCAATCAACAGTGCTGGCCAGGCAAATCAAAGGTCAGGAAATGGGACAAGCGGCTAGGAGCAATGCGGTTAAGAGTATGAATCTGAGAGATGTGGAGAGGAAGAATGCACTTCAACCTAAGCACTAGCTTCTTGAAAACATTTATAGTACTTAAGCTTACATAAATGCCTGTTTGGCTGAGTTCTTACAACTTTAACGCATCTTCTGCTGTCTCTGCCTGTAGCAACTTGCTAATGAAGAGAATCTAAGGAAGCAGGAAGAATCTGTACAGAAGCAGGAAGCCATGAGGCGTGGTAAGCTAGTGAGTTTTCTTTAGCTACTGACAGGATGGGTGGACAGGTGAATTCTTTGACTCCTTGTCCATGTCGCTTGATGTTCCATCAGAGTGATGTGTTAATGTCATATCGGCAAGTAACGGGTAAATTCCAGTAGTACTAGAACTACCAGTTGCTTCTAAAATGCATTTTTTGAGTGGCTGCACTCCTCAATGTCTGCTCTGTGGTACCTGGATTTCCCAATGAACTATCAGCATCTCCTGATATAGCAGCTGAAATTCTGGTTTTACACTGGGACAATCTAAAATAGAACCAGTTATGAGGAGGGAAGAGAAACAAAATGGTGCCTGGGAGGAACAGTTGAATCTGTGTCACCTAGTCTCTGTTCACTGTTTCCTGTAGAAAATAAAAGCTGAGTAATGACATTTTAGTCTGAAACTTGCTTTGTTTCTTTTCGTTGCTGTGGAATTGCCGCAATCACTGAGTCTGCAGAACTCCGGTGGGCCTCCACTAGTGCACAAGTCTTAGAAATGTAAGACAATTCGTGTGTGACCAAATGGGATTGATGGGAAGGCTGGTTTGCTCTGCACACAGAAGTGGACTGCTATGCTGTCCTCTCCTTGCTGCCATCTAGTGTACTCTGTCTGTCGGTGTCTTTGAAGGAAGTATTGTAGCAACCATATAACAAAGCTCACTGGTGGAATCCTGTAGTATCCACCTACTCGTGGGCATCAAGATATAGATGCCAAGGTAGGTTGTCCAGCATTCAAGTGTCAAGATGGGTATTAGATATCAGGTAGCTGGAGGGGGGGTCCAGTCAGGATTTCTTGCAGTGACACTGAAGATAGAGGATGCTTGCTACGAAGTCCTCATCTCACCTCCTGGGTTGTTTTTGGGTTTCCCATTCGTTCTCCATTCACATCAGTCTTGATGTGTCTTGCAGTTCTGTGTGTCTGAAATAACAGAGCTGCCAAAATGCTGTTTGGGACAGCATTTTACAGGCAACTTAGTTTTGCTTCTCTTTCTTAAAGTAGTGCATGTTACACTGTGTGTAGTTACTTGCCCAGGGTTGTCCTTCATTGTCTGTAGCGTGTCACCCTTCCTCTCTGAAACGATGCTGATGAGCAGCAGCAGCACCTAGCACTGTGGTTTTTCCCTCGCTGTTGCTTTATCCCTTGTTGTCAAGCTCATCTGTGACTAAAGTTTGCCCTGAGCAATTTTTCTGGCGATGAACTTCTAGAACTGGAGGGTGATTATTGTATTGCTTTGTGCTATCCGGAGAAGGCCAGGGGAAATTCCTTGTCTGTCTTCTGTAATACTGTACCCGTTGGCTGCCTTTTGGGGAGGGTGGGAAGGAATTAATATGTTGAAGTCTGCTGCTATGTGACCACACACAGCTGTTGCGAAGCCAGGATGAAGCAATGCATCTCTTTCACCTGCCTGCTACCTGGGATTAAGCCAGCCTGAAAGATTGTCCTCTTCTGTCTTTTTTTTGTGTGTGTTTTTTTTTTAAAGCTACTGTAGAGCGAGAGATGGAGCTGCGGCATAAGAATGAAATGCTGCGTGTCGAGGCAGAGGCCCGAGCCCGTGCCAAGGCTGAGCGGGAGAACGCGGACATCATTCGGGAGCAGATCCGCTTAAAAGCTGCTGAGCATCGCCAAACAGTGCTGGAGTCCCTCAAGTACGTGCAGACCAGGAGAAGGGCATGGGTTGCCTTGCTGCTTTTACAGGTTTCTCCTGTCATGTAGGAAACCTTGATGTTTATTCCTCTGAGCTATGAGGAATATCAAAAGTTAGTTTGTACGTTCTTTTAGTCTGAACAATAGGAATTATATTAAAGAGAACTCTCTTTCACTTGTGTTGCTACATTGTGAGCTGAATGTAAACCGAAGAGACTGTTTATAGAGTTGTGAATTTTATATAATTTTCCTAACAGATTACTTCAAGCCTTATGCACTAAGATTGAAACTAAATTACTCTGAAAGCTCTGAGTTCTTTCAGTTTCTGAACATATGCCATAACGGTATAAAGCAGTCTCTCCAAAGGTTACTTCAAGCCTTATGCACTAAGATCGAAACTAAATTACTCTGAAAGCTCTTTCAGTTTCTGAACATGTGCCATAACGGTATAAAGCAGTCTCTCCAAAGGGGTGGCATTTAGATTTGTAGTCTGTTTTTTGAGTCCTTTGAGATTTTGAATAAAACAATCTTTCTAAATACCTTTTCTTATAGTTCAGTATTAATAATGTATTAAAGAAAGAAATTGATATCATCGTAATGCCAAATGCTCTTCTGGCTTTAATGGCAGATCAAGTGTAGACATCAGATGGTTCTAAATGTATTTGCCATGCTTGTTCATGTTTTACTTCCCAGGTGAGCCCTCAACTAGCTTGGACTGTTTCTGAAGATGATCATTATAAAGTTGCTTGTGAATTGTTTTAATTCAGTCTTTGAAATTCCTTTCTCCTCTCCTTCTTGACTTGCTGTTTGCTTACCATAGGACAGCTGGGATGCTCTTTGGGGAAGGATTCCGTGCTTTCGTAACAGACTGGGATAAAGTTACAGCCACGGTAAGATTGTGATGTGTATCAGTATCTTCCAGAAAAGTCTGTCTGTAAGTGTGTGTTAAACTCCTTGCTCAGTTTATAGACTTTATGCTGAGTAAACCATGGTGGGATTTGCTGCTCACTTAGTGCTCTCTGCCGTCCTCATTTAAGGAGATACTGTGCTTCAGATTTTTATTCAAATTAATTGTCATCTTCTCCATATAGATAATCCGTTTCTCATCAGTCACATAAAAGTTTTTGGCTTTGATTGATCAACAGCATATAATTGTCTTGTCTTTGGAGGCACCATCACCTTTACAAACATGTCTGAAAGTTTGCCAGCTATCACAAGTAATACATGCAGGTTCTGTGAAAAAGAGTAGATGAGTCTTTTTCACAGATTGTTGGTTGTTTGTTTTTTTTTTTTCAAAGATTGTTCTAGAATTTGCTGTTTCCTATGGTATGTAGGGGAGTAGGGGTTTTATCTAATAGCCAGTTAGAGATAACTGCAGATCTTTTCTTTGAGATCTTGAAAGCAGTTTTTGTGTTTGGCTAGGCTCTGAGCTGGCAAGTTTTCATTCAGCTTTTTAATGGTTGATGTTCATTGTCCTTTCATGATGCATGAACATACTGTAAATGTTTATAGGTAAACAGAGTGTTATGAAATGTTTAACACTGTTGTTACAGGACTTCTTTGCCAGTGGTGGCTTTCAACAACAGAGATCTAATCCTGGTGTAACAGGTGGCTTTCAACAACAGAGATCTAATCCTGGTTTTCTCCCCACCCCCAATGACTTTTGTATGTTTGCATACATACATGTTTGCATACATGCATACATTCGCAGTTAAACTGCGAACTGGAAATGTCTCTTCAGGGATATTGGGGAAAGTGTACTGGAGATGCCATAGTTGATCTGGTGGACACAAAAGGGATTTGTTTCCTCTAAACCCTCGAAAACTTTTCAATTGCATACCCCTTATAGTAAAAAATTTCTGAGAACACTCCTGCAGAAAATAAGAGATGCATCATGAAAGTTTGTTTAGTTTTGTTTTTAAATTATAGTATTCAGATGCATGATTTTAAGGCCACAGAGAAATTCCTTGGTGTTCTCCTATTGCATGCATTCTGTCTCTGAGCTGCCATTTCTTCCCACCAAGTTAGCTGTCAAGAACTTGCCTGCTACTCTCCTCCCAGGTGGACAACAGGCTGCCAGCTCTCTGTGATCAGGGAGTCTGAGGGTACTGTTTGCATCTACAAAGGAGCCCTCCTAGTCTCCTGAACTTCAAGACTTTGGAGGATGTGATCTAAAACTCGCTTTGCTGCTTATCTCACAACTTTGTATGTCATTTTTATGTAGCTCAGAGAGCACTTAGAGAACTGTTGTGTGTGCTAAATACGTTGATTCAAAGCTGGACCAACATCTTTTCACAGGACAAGACAGCATGGCAGTGGCTTCTATGGAAATAAAGTTGTTCCTCAGTGTACTACTTACAACAAAACTTAACGGTGGAAATATATTTTTAGTGGCACGGCTTGTTAAAATGGACATTTTGCTTTAAGTCAGTCACCACCATCTGTGCCACCCACTGTTTTGTACACACAGGCTGATAGAAAAGACACTTTGCCTGAGTGCGCTGAGGGGAACAAGACATGCTTTAGTGGATCCTTTTGTGATCCGTAGGCTGTACCTGGAATGCCTGCGGGATTCAGAGCCTTTCGCAGAGCAGTGCTTAGTGCTTTTAGCTGCATATTCTCTTGACCCAGATACCAGCTTCCTGCATTATGGTCATTTTTACTTCTGACGAGCTCTTGTCATGTGAATTTGGGACATTTAGCTTAAAAAAAAAAAAAAGTACATATATTTTTGGAAAGGAGATAACACAGCTGGATCTCATGTTTTCTGTTGCTTTGGAAAACGACTATAAGGTAAAAATTAGCTGGTTATTTTAGAGTTATTCTAAATTAGCCCTGGATTTTCAGCTTTTCCTGCCTACTGTAAGGCATATTCTTTTCCTACCTCTTCCTATCCATGCAACCCCAAAGGTCCTGCTCAAAGTTTTTTGGGTTTGTTGGGTTTTTTAGTGATTTTTTTTTTTTTTAGTGGAATTCACTTTGCTTATCAGTCAGAGGTTCATTCCTTTGCTAGATACTTCATGATAAACAGATAGGCACTGTAATCAGACTGATTTATGGAGTTGGCATAGTAATTAGGTTCTTCTGCGAGTGTGAGAGTTGAGTAATTTTCCTGTTTTGATACATAGCTGTCAATCTTAAAGCTGTATTTCTCTGTATCTTGTAACATGAACATCAGTGAAGTCCAAAAGTCTGAAATGCTTATCTCTGCCTGGATGGGTCTGATGTATCAACCTGTAACTTTGCTTAGTACTGAATGTTGCTAAAGCAGGTGGTGTAAGAGTGCATGAGATCATGTGTCATGGTACCTTGTTTTTAGAGAGGCTGCTTAAAAAGGTGGAGTCTCTTTTGCGTTCTAAATTCCCTGTAAAATGAGATGAATTGGGTGTGGAGATCATCTTTGCTTCTTAGAACTTACGGTACTGAATCGTTTATCTTTCTATCCAAAGCAAAGGTGATGTCACTCATTTAAGCAGAGCGAAACTTAACAGATGGTGTCTCATGGCTTAATCAACAATGCTGTCCTTGTCGTCCTTGAGGCTTTTGACCTTGTTCTGTACTTGTAGTAAGTCTGCTTCCTTTAAAAGCAATTGCTACAGCCTGCTCTTTTGTCTATCTAGGCTTGCTCTGATATGAATTATTGGCATCTACCTGTAAGCTGAACACAACTGATTACTGTGTGGAACAGTTGGCCTCTTTGCAAACACCTCTCAGTTTAAAAGTAATGCCCCTTGTTCCTTTGTGTTTTCAGGTGAATAGGACTTTTGGTAAATCAACTGACTCCCTTTCATATGTACACAGAGATGGAAATGGAGGCTTATGTTTGTGCACCTGAAGTAAAGTTTTATAGAAGTTATCAGTGCTCTCAGTGTCTGAGAATTAAGGAAACCCATACATGCTAAAGATTTCTGTAAAGTCTTGCTTTCAAATCATGTCCTGAAGGCTGTTTGTCTTAATGCATACTGTACTTGGTGAAGTGTCAAAAGCCACACGCATTTTGAGCAGGGAGTACATACTTCTGGGTCCCTGACTGTGTGCATTTTCTGTGCTTCCTCTGCGTTTCACGCTGCAAGATGCAAGAGCACTAAATGCCTTCTTAATAGCACTAAATGCCTTCTTAATAAGTGTGAGAGCGTGACTGTCTGAACAGGGATAAAACATCTTACCAAAAGTAAACCCCTATTGGTCAGTGTTTGTCCTGAATCTTAATTCCCAACCACAGGGCATGCTACACACAATAGCATTACCTTGCCAAGTGTTTTTCGTAATCCTTCCTTCTTTTCTTTTTAGGTGGCAGGCCTAACCCTGCTGGCAGTGGGTGTTTACTCTGCCAAGAATGCCACAGCAGTAGCAGGGCGATACATAGAAGCACGTTTGGGCAAACCTTCCCTGGTGAGAGAAACCTCGCGCATTACTGTGCTGGAGGCACTGAAGCATCCTGTCAAGGTAAAGTTTAGCTTTGTTTTTTTGTGTTGCACTTGGCCATGAGGATGCAAAACTCCTTTTGTAGCTCTGTGTCAGGCAGAGAGCAGTCCGTGGGTCTGAGTAAACATACTACTAGAAATAGCATAGGTGGGCTGAGCTCATTGTCATTTTATATTACCTTCTCGTCCAGGTGAGTTGTCAAAACTATGGTTCATGTCTACATGTCAGTTATTGACTTTGTCCTCTTTAGGTTGGCAAGCGGCTTACCAGCAAGGCTCAGGATGCCCTTGAAGGAGTCGTTCTCAGTGTGAGTACTGTTTTGCTATCTTGGTCTGTGAAGGATGACTTCAGAATCTAAATAAGCAGGGCTGTTTCCTTACACTCACTTCAGAAGCTGTAATTCCAGTAATTCTGGAGACATAGCACCCTTGGGCACCGAGACTGTAAATACACTTCTGTGTTCAGTGTGACACGCTGTTAACCTTTTCTCTTCTGTGCAAAGCAATTGGAAGTCTTAGTTCAGTGCTTGCCCTGCTGCAGTTTTTCCCTGTATTCAGCATGTTACTATACAGAGGTCCAGTTGTCTCATCTAATCTGTTATGGATTACTGAACCTAGATCTGCTTGTAGGCCAAAAAACTGAAGAAACATATGCATTTGCTCATCTTGTAAATGGTTCTTAACTTGGTAATTAGGGCTGCTTCTGTATATGTGCTTCTGAATTTGTTTCTTGGATATCAAGCAAATTTAAGTGCTTCTTGAGGCTGCTGAGAGAAAATACTCCTGCAGGAATAGCTTTCTCCCAGTATCTCTACAAATACAGTAATGAGTATGAACACAAGTGTTTGACTTATATGAAAGAATTAGTACTGCAAAGAGTTGCTTATGTTTTGATATATCCCTCTCTAGGTATCTGATAGAAAGTGGATATTTAGGCGTTATCAGTTCTTGTAGTATTTACTGCACTGCCTCCTGCACTGCTGCTTTTTCTTATTGAAGAATTGTAGCCAAGTGGACATAACTTTAAATTAAGTAAATCCTGACATAGAAGGGGAAGTGACCCTGATTTGAAGTAATAAGCAGCTGAAGTTAAGGCTTAAAAGCTTGAGACTGTAGGAGTGCTGCCTACTTCTTGCTGGTACTGATCTGTGAAGCTGATAGATAGGATCTCTTGGTACTTTCTGTTCCTGAAGTTTAACCCTTTTCTTGCAGCCACAGTTAGAAGCACGTGTGAGAGACATTGCCATAGCAACGAGAAACACAAAAAAGAACAAAAGCCTGTACAGGAATATCCTTATGTACGGTCCCCCTGGCACAGGAAAGACACTCTTTGCCAAGGTAAAACCCTGCCAAGATTCTGACAACCTGCACATTGCAGGGTGCACTGAAAACTTCAGGCTATAAGCACCGTCTCTAGTCTGAAACCTATTGCTGTAGTATTGCATAAACTTTGTGTTCCTGTGTCTCTGTTGGGAAGGGAGGGAAGGGCATCCAGCCTGCTTCAACTCTAAATTAGTACAGTCACTTGGATTCTAGTGATGAGCGTAGGCAGAAGAGCCCTTCCATCTGGAAAAGGCACTTGACAACTGTGACTTGTGAAATCGCAACACCAGCCTGCCGTCTCATTTCCACCTCTCTTAATTTCATGTACTTGTCTAAATAGGGTCTTTCCTGCTGTTGCTGTCGCTTACTAATCGCAGAGCAGAGAAGAGATAGGTATGGCTTCACTATGCATATGCACTGCCAGGATGGTTTTTGCATGAATTTGAGTCAGGATTTGATTTTTGACTTGCTCTTCAGTGCTTCTCTGCTAGATCTGGGGTTTCATATACTTGTTTAATAGTGGAAAATCTGACATGCTGATGCAAGTTGAATTTTTTTCTCTATCGCTACATTAAACCCATATCCTGATAGTTTTTTGCTGCCTGCTCTGACAGTATGCCACCTAGTTTGGATTTCTAAAGCCAGTAGGGAGGGACAGGTCTGGGAAATGGCAACAGCAGCATAAGAAGAAGAAGGGAGAAGTGTAAGAGCTGAGAGAAGTGGTTGTCAGTGAACTAAGGAGGAGGAGTTTATTAAGTAGTCCAGAAGTTCGCTCTTAACACTTTTCCCCCATAGTATAGAAACTCCAAGGGGATGGTGGTGGTAGCTGTAAAAGATTGGAGGGGTCAGAAGGAAGATGGATGTAAAAGTGAGACCTGTGTGCTGTAGAGATGAGAGAATACTACCCTGGGAAGATGACTTTTTTCTGAGCTGTGACTTTTGTACTTGAGTTAATGGTAGTGACAATACAGGCTGCAATTACTGCTGTTTCAGAAAGGTAATATGCCCTAGTGTGGTGGTCTTTTCTGACTCCTACAGGGCAAAGGCATCTATGAGTCTGTGGTGGTAAGCAGTAATGCTGTGTAACAGGATTCTTGAGACAGATGTAAACACGCTTGGATGCAGCTGTCAACGCTTCCAGCTTTGTTGGACTGATACAAAACACTAAATGTTAGTAACAGGAACTGGCTGGTTTTAATGGGCAGAGCAGAGCTTTTTCCAGCCTTCTACTGCACAGCAGATAATTGGTTGGATTCAGCTAAGCATGTTCTGTTGGGGCTGTTGCTGATCTACTTGGGTTGACTTGTTCGTTTTAGCCTTTGGATGACTTTCCTTTACTCAGCAGACCTGGGTAGCCAGGTCTGGGTCAGCTAATGGCTCTGCATATAAGCATGCTGTGATGGGACTAAACTATTTTATTTCCCTCCTCATCTTCTGTGGTCTTGCAGTGAAAGAGAGTGCTTAACTCACTGTTTTTGTTTCCTTCCAGAAATTAGCTGTGCACTCCGGCATGGATTATGCTATTATGACGGGTGGTGATGTTGCCCCCATGGGGCGGGAAGGAGTTACTGCCATGCACAAACTCTTCGACTGGGCAAACACCAGTAGGAGAGGGTAAGTAGAGGTTTCTCTGCATCCCGAGTTTGATTTCTTGCTCCAAGTAGTGCCCTGCAGCGATGTAGTTCAAACCTCTAATCTCTGCTGTTAAATTGTACTCTTGCATGGATGAGGTGACGCTGACCAGGTGTAACATCTTCTAAAGTTTTCCTAGAATGGATGAATTCTTGCTGCTTAGTAATATTTAAAAGGCTGAAAGCTTTTGCTTTTCTGCTCCCTCAAATCCTTCTTGTGTACTTCAGGTTTTCCAGATCAGTTATAGCTTAACTCTGCTGATCTCACCAGGCAGATGGAGAGATATTGCCCACTTGAAGGCTGGGACACATGTCTTTCAGTGATAGTATTCTGACAGTAGCTAGAAAATTTAGCACAAACGGAGGTGCAATCAGGTGTTTACACTTTCTGGATATTATGTTCCCTGTTGCAATTGCTCAGATTTTAGATTCTGATGATGTTTGGATCTGACTTTTTGTTTATTTTTGAGTCTCAAGCAGAATTAGTGAATTATAAGAAATAAAAGAGGATAAGGGGGAGACAGATGCTAAAGGCATTGACATTGGCTAGGTGTAAAAGTCACAAGCTGCTGTGCTTTTCAGTCACCTTTAAAAGCAAACTTTTATCTGCAGAAAAGCATTCATGTTGAGGCTAAATCTCAACTCCCTGATTTTTTAAGAGTATGTAGTTAATTTGCTCATACTAATGTAAATGGATTTTTGCAGTCCAGAGGTAGCTAAGAAGCTGCTTGTCCAGCCAAGATATTAAAATTTGATAGAGAACTTGCAGTGGGTGTCAGTTTTGGTTTTTTGTGCTGTTTTGATTGCACATCTTCTGTAAATGTGGTAACCAGTGATTTATATGTTCTCTGATTGCTTTAGATGGATATTATCTTGCAGCGTCTGTTGTAATCCTTTCTGCATTCATCATCTAAATGTTTCTATTTCTCCTTTAAAAAACCCCTAAAAGTTGCAGAGAAAATGTCCTAAGGATATTAACTCTTTAAGCTTCTCCTACCCTGAGGAGCTATGGAATGAAAGGTGTAAGAATTTAAATGAGCTTAGAAAAAGAAGTTGGCAGAGATGTGAGAATGCTCAACTGGATGAAGACTGCTGGATGCTTCCACTAAAGAATTTTCTTTCACAGCACTGCCTGGGTCTGAATTTATTCTGTGCTGATAACACCTTCAATGCATTTGAACTTCATACGTTTCAGATAGCCATCTTATGAAAGTCGTGATCGAAGGTTACGTGTGTCCCTATACATCAATATTCTAACTTCCAGTAACATTCAAGTATTTAAGCAGATTTTGTTCTGCATCTCCAACAGTGTTAACTGTTAGTACTGTATTGCTGTTATTAGCTGAAAGCTGTTGTGATAGAAGACACTTCTCTGCAAAGACTGTAGCTCAGTGTATTTTCAGAAAAAATGGAGTTGAGTAACAGATGTTAATAGGCCCTGAAATCCCTTGAAAGCAAGCTGGTTTTGAAGCTAGGCAAGAAGGTAATACAAGCTGTGACAGCTTTATGAGCACCTTGGTTCTGTTATTGATAAACATCTTTATACACTTTGTCTCTTGGGAAGAGCACTACCCTTGGGTTATAAGTGAATTTATTTTTGTGAATTATTCATTGACTTTATTAATTCACTTCTCCACAGGTAGTAACACCATTATATTATTGCTAGTGTGGTTTGGAAAGGAAAAACCCAACAAGATAACAAAGCAAGTTGCAGGGGAGGACTCTGGCTTCAGGTTTTCAGAATGGTATAAGGAAGAAAAATGGCAGGAAGATGTCATTGTCACCAGGATTTCTTGCATGCTTGTGTCCCTGTCTTGCACCCTTGCACACATTCCTCTGAATAGGAGGGAATGGTAAAATAAGTATTTCTGACAAGCACTTGGGGAGCCAGGTCTAAAGTTCAAAGATCTACTCCAACTTGGCAGTAACATAACAGCACTGCTAGATACATCCCATTGGCAAACCATGCAAAACTCAGATCTACGTTTTTAAATCTTGAGGAGGTTAAGGTGGTGTGCCCTGGAACTGTTTCTGTTCAGCCTGCTTCTGAACAGCGGGAAACAAAACTCCAGAGGCCTGGAGTCAGGTTTATGGCCTAAGGTGTCTTAAGCTAATGCCTTTTCTTGACCGTTGGGATGGGCCAAGTGTCTGCAATGGAAGCATTGCCGTAGCTTAGCTGAGAAATGTTGCCTTAAGAAATGTCTTTGCTTGTGTGATCCTCAGGCTTACAGCTGGGCACAGTTTTTGGTGCCTGGTAGTGGGACAGGAGAAGCCTTGAGCCCTTTGAGCCTCACTTACCTGTCTCCTGTTACTGTGTAGCACTTTCCTTTTACAGCCTCTTGCTGTTTGTGGATGAAGCGGATGCATTTCTGCGGAAGAGGGCAACAGTAAGTACTTTGTCTGTTATCTGTGCATGCTGCAGAGTTAGTCAGCAAACAGCCTTCTTTAACCTGATTAGCTACCTTCAACAGGCAAAAGATTAAAACTGGCAGGTGCCCTACTACTCACCTAATTAAGTGATGCAGAGACAAGGAATTAGTGTCTTCCAGCTGAACGGAATGAGCATCTCAAGACTGACTTGAGAATTCCTCCCTGCAAAAGATGGGTGACATCATCTTCTTGGAGGTTTTGCAGTTGACTGGGCAGTAGGAAAGGAGGAGGTGTATCTTGAAAATAAGAGGAGATTGTTCACAGTGCAGAGATGGTACCCTGCAGGGTTTGTTCTTTGTCCCAACAGATATTTATTTGGGGAGATTTTCATAACAGAACTGCTTTTTACTATGTTGTCAAAGCTACACTAGCCTCTTCCCCCTGTACAAATGATTTATGTTTTCAAAGTAAACCACTATACTGTACATGGAATCTGGATCTGCTACTTGAACCCCAATGGTCTATTTAAAGAGCTATCCCTAGAAGATTACTTTGTGTGAATTCTTTGCTGTGGCTTATTCTTCTGTAAGTATCTTATTGGACCTCCCAGCTGAAATAATGTTCAGCCTGGAAAGCCACCTGGGCCAATGGGTAGAGCCTTGGATTTAAAATCAAGAGAATCACTGAGTGACTGAGAGTAAATATTTAATCTCTCTGCTGGAAGCTTTAATTCCTAACCTTTTTCCTGGATATATAAAGTGATCCTTTTTTTTTCAAGATATTACGGTGCTTTGGATTCTGCTGTGATGCAAACGTTTGACAATAACAGAACTCACTTTGTCAATAGTGCTGCTTAAAGCTGTGACCTGTCTTAGGTCCCCAAGCAATTGATCTTCCTTTGGATTTCATCTTTGCAGGAGAAAATCAGTGAAGATCTCAGAGCAACTTTAAATGCATTTCTTCACAGAACAGGGCAGCACAGCAACAAGTAAGTATCCAGTTTCAGCCCTTACAGCAGTTGATACTCCCCTGAATTGAGGAAAGGCTGTTAGAGGTCTGTAGTGTGCAAATGAAAGTTGGAAATGCTACTAAGGGCTTGAAAAGAATCTGCATAGAATATCCCCTTTTTAGTTCATATACTGAGTGTAGCTTGCTCCTCCTTGATCTTTTCCCATGACCTAGGAGATTAGAACTCCGAAGGGCTGGACACAAGGTAGAGATCAGTGCTTGTGAAAAGGGTGTGTGTTTGGCCTGCGTTAGCAGGTGTGTAAAAGGGATCTTGAACTGCCTTTCTGGACAAAACTTCACCTGTGTATGGTGTGTGGTGGTGAGCAGTTCCCTTTCATAGGTCACCCATACTGTGCATGGCTCCCTTCCAGCAC